CTACTTAAAAAGGTTAGAACTTTTCCATGCTTATATATATTTGTCTTTTTCTTCAGTGAGGTTTAGCTTTTGCTCAACGTATTATTTAAAAAAAATATTTTATAGTCAAAGACTACAAATTGGTTACAGTGTATACTGCTCAGGGGATGGGTGCACCAAAATCTCACAAATCGCCATTAAATAACTTATTCATGGAACCAAACACCAACTGTTGCTCAATAATTTACAGAAATGAAAAACAAAATTAAAATAAATATTTTATAGGAATTCTTTGAATATTATGTATTTTGGGGTACTAGCTTACTGTGTGATAGGTACAAAATTTTCTCACATTTTGACTTATAACAAACAATAAATGTTAGTTGTTACTTTATGAAGATAAACTTTAATGTCACATTATCAAATTTTTCAAAGCTCACATTAATTTTCTTTCTTTTTTTTTTGAGACAGAATCTCACTCTGTTGCCAGGCAGGAGTGCAGTGGCGCAATCTTGGCTCACTGCAACCTCCACCTCCCTAGGTTCAAGCAATTCTCCTGCCTCAGCCTCCCAAGTAGCTGGGACTACGGACGCGCACCACCACACCCAGCTAATTTTTCTATTTTTAGTAGAGATGGGATTTCACCATATTGGCCAGGATGGTCTCAATCTCTTGACCTTGTGATCTGCCTGCCCCAGCCTCCCAAAGTGCTAGGATTACAGGCATGATTCACTGCGCTCAGCCCCCATATTAATATTCTTACTAGAATTATAGTAATGTTTGGGAAGGCTCACAGCAGCTTTTAAATATTTAGTCTTCCCATTTGGAAACATGGTATGTCCTAATTGATTACAAATGTTTTCGTTTTCTTCCGTAAGTAATATACACTTATACATTTATATTTCTTGTGATGGCTAATTCCTGCATATTTTATAATTCTAGATGCTACTGTGAACTGATTTGCCTATTATATTTTTCAACTGTTTTCAGTTTATGTAACTGTGTTTACCACCTACAGAATTCTTCATTAAAACAATTCTACGAGTTTTCTAAGTTTATTCTCTTAGATTTCTATGTTTGATTGCAAACATATTCTACCATATGCAAATAATAATAATCTTACATGTTTTCCCCAATATTTATGTCTTTTGTTTTTATCATAATAGTACTACCAAAAAAATGAGATTTCTCCATTTAGTATAGCTACTGTAGTAAACCAAAAATAATTGTATATTTACATATTTCATATGTAATTATATAAAATAAATATTCAAACTTTCTTTCAGGTTACTAAGTAGGTCAGTATTTCTACACGAACAGTAAACTGTCACATCTCAGAATATATAGAGCTACATGCTTAAAAAAAAAAAAAAAAAAA